CCACTGAGGGAGGGGGGAGTGAGCGAGCGGCTGCGTGGTGCTGAGTTGCCAGCCGGGTTAAACCACAACAAGCTCCTTAATCCAAAATACTGTTGCTTTGAAAAAAGAATTTTCTTGCGCTCCGTTTGCCCGGGCTGCCTGGCCGCCCCCGGCGCAGCGTGGCAGAGATCCCGCAGAGCCCTGCGGGCGACGGCCGGGGGCGACCACCTCTCCGTGCCTCGCGCGATACTGAAATAAGACCGAAAATGCGATTGCTGGCTTCCAGCAGTAATTCCCTTGCTGCAGCTCTCACCCTTCTCTGTTGCAGAAGCTCACCCTGAGGCACGTCAACAGCAACCAGTGTCTGGATGAGCCGTCGGAGGAGGACAAGATGGTTCCCAGCATGAGGGAGTGCGGCGACGGCCGCTCCCAGCAGTGGCTGCTGCGCAACATGACCCTGGGTGCCTGAAGGCGACGCGGACCCGCTGCCTCGGCTGGGATGGCCACCTCCTCCTCCTCTTCCTCCTCACCTCCTCCTCCTCCTCCTTGCTGAGGCCAGTGGCGCTGAAGCCCTCTCCCAATCCCAGCCATTGGAGCAAAGTCACGGGGGGGTTCCCTTGATGTGGCGGGTCTCCACGCGCCCCTTGGAAACCTGTGACTGTTCAAAAGAAGCTCATCTGAGCCTGTACATGGCAAAGCATGTGCTGTTATCAACACAAACGTGCTCAAAAGTGGTTCCAGAGAAACCTCAATGAACCCTACAGCAAAGAGGGTGGGATGGAGGGTGTTCCCCGTGTGTCACGCACCCCTGCGGAGAAGGGACCCAGTATAAAATGCCTTATGACACTCGCTGGCACCGGGAACCATCCTGGCATCAGGTGTCTCCTGAGCTGGGTGTGTTGGTGCTGGTCTTTCTTGGCAACGCAGTGGGGATATGTGCTGTCAAGTGGGACTCAGTGAAGAACCACACCGAGCAAAAAAGTCATCGGACAGAGCAGAAGCTTTGTGGTTTGTGCCAGGGAAAAAAAAAAATAAATGGGATCCAGTGTTTGGAAAAGCAGCAAAACTGAGCAAAGACTGCACTCAGAAACTGAAATGAAATCAGTGGAGGCAACGGCAAAAGACGTGGGAACATCGTTCCGGAGGAGGAGCAGCACGCGTGGGTAACTCAGGCCAGTGCAGCCTGACACGTCCTCTGCAGCGGGAAGGGGCTGGGGCCGACGCCCGGGGCGCTGCAAGGGGGCTGCGGGAGGGGGTACCAAAACCTGAGACCACTGGAAACCGAGTGGGGTTGGACCTCGATCCCCAGCTGCTGCCCTTCCGCATCAGTACGTACCCGCGTCCCGTGGGAGGCACAGACAGGAGCTCCATCCGTGGATCCCCTGCCCGCAGAGGATGAAACTGGACCGGCTCGGAGTCCTGGCTCCGGATGCTCTTGCTTGGATAGCGATGACAGATGCTTATTTATATTTTTAACAATTTTGTGGCTTAATCATTTTGTTTAGCGTGGTTATTCTAAAACGTGCTGACGGGGCGCAGCCGTGTCGGAGGCGTTGCAGGAACTGATGCCATGCCGACCCGCGGCGGGGGGTGGGGAAGGGTCCGACCCATACTGGTGACGTTTCCTATATGTACTGGTGGCGTGACCCCAGCGGCACATCCCTCCCAAAATGCATCTGTTGCACAACGGGCTGGGCTGGGTTTTCGGCGCTGGTCTAACCTGTGCCTAGAGGGGTCAAGAGACCCAAATCACAGGGCAGCGGCCGCAGCGTGACTTCAGCACGGGTAAGTGGTGAAATGGTTTCCCCTTATTTCACTCACAGTTCCTCAAAAGGTCTGTTTATGCACTGGGTCATTAAAAATGACAATATTTTCTGTATAATGCTCTGGTTGTTATGGATTAATAGTGTCATCTATATATATGTACGTATTATAAATTTATAGATCATCCATATTTTCTTGATACACATCATTAAATGACAAATGGAAGGCTATTAAGTTGGAAAAGTGATTGCTGTGCATGCACGGGAGCTAGAGTATCACGGATTAACTCGGAGTGGAAGCTCATCTGGTCCAGCCTCCCCGCTCAAAGTGGGGCCAAACACTTCCAGTCCTCATCTTCCTTTTTTCGCGCAAGTACTCGACACGGCTGAAAAGCTAGCAAACCGGGCGAAGGCCGTGGTCCTTCGTGGAAACAGTGTGCAGCCATCACGAACGAATTTAACCGCCAATCTCCATGCGGAAAAATAATAATAAATGGATTCTTCGTCTCCTTGCCGAGGGCTTTTGCCACGTGGACTCTTGCAGGTAGGTCGTGTATCCCCTTACGTGGCTTTTGCGTGTCGTTGCAGAAGTAAATGTTGTGGAAGGTCCCACAGCGTCCCGGAGCACGGGGAGAGGGCAGCCGGCGGTGCCGTCTCTTTTGGGTGCCTCCGGTCCCGTTCATGGAATACTCCTGGCTGCGAAGGGCCAAGGCTGCCAAAGTCCCCACGCTGCCCTGTTCAGACCATGAGGTTTTCTCGACGCCGTGGCCGGAGGGCGATGGCGAGGTGCAACGCGTGCGCCACTGTCTGGGCTTCAGGTGCGGTCGCACAAACGGGTGAAGAAAAGGATATTTTTTTTCTCTTTAGAACTGCTGTGAAGGTTAATATTCTTGTAAAGCGTGTAATCCCTTGACGAAGGTGGCAAGCTTGCCGTGTTGGGTACGGTCAGTGCCCGCGCCGCTGTGTCCCCGCTTGGGGGGAAAAAAGAAGGGAAATGCCTCCGTGTTTGATCGTACTTACTGAGGGGCAGGTAGCGCATCCCTCGCGGCCGGAGCAGAATATTGCCGGCAGGATGGCCTAGGGATTATGCTCAGATGTAGAAAAAGAAGCACTGAGGGACCTGCTTAACTTCAGTCACGGCAAATATTGCCATGGGCTTCAAGGGGCCGGATCCTGGATTTACCTCCTCGGTAAGGATCCAGAGCCCCCATCGGTCTCGTTGCGGAGGGATCTCACACAAAGCCTCGTTTACGGAGAGCGAGGTGGTGGTGGGGAGGGTGCCTGCGGCGCTGATACCACACCAGGGATGGTAAATGATGGGGTTTCATGAATAAATGTGAGCTACTGCGCCCTTGGACCCCTGCCCTTCCTCCTGCCGCTGAATTCAGGTCTTGCCTTGGCGCAAGTCATTTGGGCTAGAATAATTCAAACCAGCTCATTTGGTTGCCTCTGTTGGTGAGTGCCTGAAGGTCAGTGCCCACAAATGGTTGGCTGGTCTTTGTTGTTTCCCCATTTATAAAATATCTCAGAAGGGTGTCGGGAGGATTGGCTTCTGTGGGCACGATGCCTTTAAAGAGCTCTGCGAACGCTGAGTATTTACTGTTGTCACTGGAAAAGCGTTGCTGGTTCGGCTGGTTTCGAAGCCTTGCCTTGGTGAGCTGAGAGCGAGCTGTAGCGCTGGGTGGCACCAGCAAAGCGAAGGCTTCGAAGAGTTAAGTTGAACCACAAACGCTGTGAAGCGCTGTGCTCCTTCTTATCGCCCCGCACCTTCTGGCCATCCATGGGACAACCCCACAACCATAGAATCATGGAATCGTTTGGTTGGCAAAGCCCTTTAAGCTCCCCCAGCCCAACCGTTCCCCTACCCCTGCCATCCCACCCCCAAACCCTGGCCCTCAGCACCGCCTCTGCCCGGCTGTTAAATCCCCCCAGGGCTGGGGACTCGACCCCTTCCCTGGGCAGCCCCTTCCAGCCCCTGACAGCCCCAAGGGGAAGGAATTGTTCCCCATGGCCAACCTCACCCTGCCCTGGCACAACTTGAGGCCATACAGGCCAAACCAGGCATTTGGATGGGTCGGCCGGGGTGGGTTTCCCTACGGACACGTATTTCCCAGTCACTGGAGGGTTTATTTATTTCTTGCACTCAAATACGAATAGCGCTGTGAAGAAAAGCTGCAAAGCTCCATCTGCTGATTCTGGTTTGGTTTGGGGTTTTGGTTTTTTTTTTTTGAGAAAGTGGAGATCTTGCCTGATCCCACGCCCTGGGGGTTGGACTAGATGACCTCTAGGGGTCCCTTCCAACCCAAAACATTCTATGATTCTATGATCTCGCGTGGG